GTGTGGTATTGGAGATAGAACCCAGGGCTGCTCTACCCCCATCCCCATTTTTTTTCTCTTTATTAGTGTATTATACATAATAGTTGGATTCATTTTGATAAAATCGTACATTCGTGAAATTTGATCTACTCCATTTCAGGGCCCAGTGCCCCCTCTTTTTCCTCCCTCCCTCCCTCCTATTTTCCTTCCTTTACTGGTCTTCATTTTACTCATTTATTTATTTTTCTATTAATTTTTGGTACCTTATAGATGTACATAAAGGTGAAATTCACTATGGTATGTTTATACATTTACATAGTATAATTTTGTTAAGTTTATTTCGCATTTCCTCAGCCCTTTTTATTTCTTATTGTGAGACAAGGGTCTCGCTAAGTTGCCCAGGCTGGCCATGAACTTGCAATCTTCCTGCCTCAGCCCCCTAAATAGCAGGGATTACAGGCATGCACCATTGCACCCAGTGACATTAAGTTTTTGAGTGCTATAGTGAGTGGGTTGAATAGTCATAAATACAGGTTGAGCATCCCTAATCCAAAAATCTGGACTGCAGAATCCAGACTTCCTGAATGTCACATTAGTGCTCAAAATGTTTTGAATTTTGGATTTTGAATTTTCAGATTAGGGATGTTCAACTGGTAAAGTTTATATAAATATCACCAAATCTAAAATACTCTGAAACTTGAAATACTTCTTGTCACAAGCAATTTGGATAAGGGATCCTCAAACGATATTTCCAAAAGCTTATGGAGCTCCTACAAGCCCAATCATTGAGATTTTCTGAATGACCTGAGAATATATATATATATTTAAATCAAATTTCTAAGCTACAGAATATTAAGAAAACAGCATTGTGTGTCAGGCACTATTTTAATTCTTTTGTATACCTTCATTCATTGAATTTGTTACAACAACCTTACAAGGTGGGTAAGTATCATCATCATTCTACAGAAGGAAAACAGAGGCCCTAGTTGATTTGTGTGCCTTAGATTCTACAGTTGCTTGTGAAAGGTGGAGGCAGTGTTATTCATTTGTAAAGTGAAGATAAACCTTGTTTCTTAGAATTATAGAGATTAAGTGAGCTAACTTGACTAGTTTGTTCTTATTAATAATATGTTAATTATGAATGAGGGAAATGTTCTGCAAAGTGAAGCAAAGAAAATGGTAAAAGGAGATGATATGGAAATATAATGCCTTTAACCTAACTTTTCTTTTCCTCCTATTTCCTGGAGTAGGAAAATTACCTAAGTGAGCAAACTCATGCAGCCAAAAAAGGAAACGTGAGGTTTTCAGTTGTCCTAAGACATCTTAGAACAAGTTTATGCAGGGAACTTCATTTACCTTGGCATTGAGCAAAATCTGAGGCATTGGGTAAAAGCAGGTTTTTTTTCTTATTAAAGCCTTAGAAAGCTGCTTAAGAGGCCTTAGCTGGCAGAATCCTTTGAATCCTCTTGGAATGTATGACACTTTCCTGTTTGCTTTTGTGCTTAGAGGGACAATTCAGTCTTCAAACTTCCTTCCTATGCTTCAACAGAAAATTCAGTTTAACATGTTTTGTGCTTAAAATTCCCATTTTTTCCATAACCTGATGCTTTTCCACTCAAAACAGTAGATGAATTAAAGGAATTGAATAACTTGGGTCTGGAAAACTAAACTGAATAGCTGGAACAGGCAACTTCTGTTGGGCCCTGAATTGATAGAATATAGGAAAGAAAACTTTAATAAGGTAATGGAAACCTTCAAGGAAATAAGAACACAAATATAATTTCAGAAACTAAAGAAATTCTGATTTCTAAATTTAGTAGACAGACTGATAAAGAGATTAGTGATGATTAGGAACTGAAGCATTGTCCTGTAAGATCAAGTTGTTTAAATAGATACAGAGTGATAGAAAAACCTCAAGAAAAAAAAAAAAGAATGTAAATCATTATGTGTAGTTCATGGGAGCCTGGAAGATAATTTTAGAAGACCTATCACGCAGATAAAATAGCTAGGAAAGTCGTGATGAAATGATATTAAATGTTTTAAGTTAAATACTTGCCTTAAGACTGTAAGTGCAGAAATAAAGAGGAAAGATCTTGTTACGGACTAAATTGTGTCCTTTCGAGATTCGGTGTTGAAGTCCTGTCCCCCGGCAACTAAGAATGTAACCTTATTTGGAGATTAAAAGCAAATGATGAAATTAAAATGTAGTGGGGAATGCCAATCCAGTATGACTGGTATGTCCTTATAGAATATTTGAACACACTGACAAGACACTAGAAACTAATCTGTCTGTCTGTCTTTCTGAATGCTTACACTTCTGAATTGGGGGAACTGCCTTGCTGGTGCAGGTGGTCCTATGAAGCTAATAGTGCCACACAGAAGCTTAAGAGAACCAGCTATTGCTGTCAGACTGAAAGGATGTAGCTAGAAAAGCACTGACAGAAATAGCAAGCAAATAGAAAGGACAAAGTCCCTTCATCTTTTTTCTTCCAAATCTTCCTTGACTGTATCTTCAACATTTCAACACAAAGGTAAAAGTTAAATAAAGGAGAATACAAGAATAACAACAAAGGATAAAAATTCTGTAAAGTTTATCTTTGTAAAGATTAGAATATAGAGAAACTCCTTTTGGATTTGATGAAAGAAATAGGTAAAGAATTGTTTTAATTGTGATTAAGAAGGAAGGAGACATACCATAGGTATGTGTGAGTTTGAAAGAATAATGAAAATCCACATGTAGAATTATGTACACAAACATGAAAATAGCAAATAAATGGTTTTTTTTTAGCAAAATACAATTTAAATTGATCCTCTGCAGAAGTGGAAATTTGAAAAGTTTAATGTAGAAGAAATCAGAAAGGTGGCTACGGACCTGTTGAGAAAA